GACAGATGCATCGTGCTGTATCGATGCTTCAAGTACACAGTCAGACTCTGCACCCTGGGTCTACAACTACTCGATGCTAGTGCTCTGCTGAGTCGGGCTTCTGAGATGGCCTCTGTATTGGGCATGCCTGATGTCGAAGAGGTAGACTACACTCGAGAGATGAGTACTCCAGTTCCCATGTTGTAGGTACTCACCCGAGGCAGCCAGTATAGAGTGGAGTGCATCCTCCATCGTGCTGCTTCCAGGACGGGCTTTGGTCTGGTCTCATCATCGAAGGCTCAGGTGGGCACATATACGATGGAGGCTTTTGAGGAGCTCTTCCTGCAGGTCAAAGCACAACCGGCATTGGAAGGTGTCCCGATGGTGCTAGAGCCGAGGTCGGGATACTACCGCACGCCCACCATAATTCTAGATTTCCAGAGTCTCTATCCAAGCATCATCATAGCCTATAACATGTGTTTTTCCACTTGTCTAGGCAGAGTTGAGCATCAGGACCTCACTGTTGCCCTCGGCACACAACGAGACAAGCCATATACAGTAACCATGGGTGGGCTCATTTAGATGCTCAGTAATCATGGCGTCGATAAACAGTCGGCTTGACGTCCACAAAAAAATACATTTCCTAGTAGGGAATACATTTTTTTACGACGGGGCTTGTACGGAAAAACAAGTACAGACTCCATGTAGCTCATCGACATTATTCTCGGTGGATTCCAGTGTGATAACTCAATAACACTCCCTTATCTACGAAAACCTATTCAATAACCTATTCAAACCGACTCAATACTACTTCGTTACGCTGTCACCAAGGAGTCACCGATAGATGAGTACTCTTTTTCGCCGTCAGATAAGACGGTCCTCGTCCCTCCTGCAAGACGATAATGTCGTGGTAGCTGCCAATGGTGCCGTGTTCGTCCAACCATCCTGTAGGGTTGGCATTCTCCCTCGAATGCTACACGAGGTCAGTCTAATTACCATCTACGTGCACCATGCCTCCGAGTAGGTGCTGCAGACGAGGTTCATGGTCAAGCGGGCAATGAAGAGCGTGAACTCTGGAGACTCCCCGGCACTGTATCGAATCATGGATGCGAGACAACTAGGTCTCAAGCTGTTGGCCAACGTCACGTGAGAAGCTTCTATAGTTCCCGTCGCCCGTCGTAGGTAACTCTATTGTAGGTATGGCTATGCTGGTGCATCCTACTCGGGGAGGATGCCCTGCTCGGAGCTCGCTGATGCTATAGTTATGACAGCACGCCGGACACTACAACACGCCATGTCTGTCGCGGAGGATATGGGAGCGACTGTCTTTTATGGTGACACTGACTCAATGTTCATACGGTCAGGGCTAGCCAGATGCTACCAACGGTATCAACATTTCATCTTACCTCAGGCCACCAGTCGATCATTGCGGGTCGGTAGAGTCTGCCTTCGAGTTCGGCCGCCACCTAGCGGACTGCGTTACCAGTGCTAATCCATGGCCTGTGAAGCTCCAGCTCGAGAAGGTGTGCATGCCCTGCGTATTGGTGTCGAAGAAGAGATACTGTGGTTGGGCCTATGAGCATCCTAAGGCCTCCCCTCAGTTCTTTGCTAAGGGCATTGAGACTGTTCGAAGGGATAGCTGCCCGTTCACCGCCAACTCTGTTCGTGCTGTCCTCGAGGCCATGTTCAGAACGGATCCTCGGGCTGATGAGGCCCTCCATCTCGAGGCTGGGAGGCGGGCCGGGCGCGATATAATCAGACGGGCTTTTAATGGTGAAATCAGCAAGGTTGATTTCATATTCCAGAACCAAGTCAGACTGAACTATCGAAGTAAGAATCTCCCACCAGCAGCACACGTTGCCCTCATCCAAGGCCTAGACACTGGCTATAAGGAGAGGGTCGCTTATGTGGTAGCACGGAGGGTCGGCGACAGATCTAATTTGAAGCTCCAGGATAGAGTTGTGCCTCCTTACAGACTTTTGGGGCCCAGAGGTCTTGTATTGGATGTCAACTACTACCTCACCAAGCAGTTCTTCCCTGCAGTGCAGCGTGTCTTAGCGCCGATCGTACCTAACGTAGCCGAGTGGCTGAGTGAGAACATCCAACCGCCTGAAGGTGTTGGTAGTCTTGAGTGTTGTACGTGCCACATACAACTCGACCATCGGCAGGGTCAACGCTGGCTCTGTGACTCTTGCCTAGAGCGGAGCCCGCCCGATGTGGTATACACTGCCAACGAGAGGGCTCGTCAATGCGAAGCTAAATGTCGAGCATCGAGACTTGTGTGCATGCAATGTACAGAAGGATCCCTGATGATGGCCACTGGATGCAGTGATGCCTACCACTGCCAGAACTACTTCATCCGGTCTGCTGCTCCTATTGCTGAGTTGAGAGCTAGACGCTACCTTGTGGAGCTAGACAACCGGTTGGCGAGTGGATGGGACCTCCCCCACAGCCAGAGCAGTTCAAAGAGAGCATCGACTACCGCTTTAACAGAGGCGCAAATCAGCCAGGGGTCTCTGCTCGACGACGATGATATGCTCGGTGACATATTCGGCGATCCCGACTTTGACGCTGTCGACATTCAACCTGAAGAGGCGGTGTTATGCAATGAGCCGGAAATTCCGGTTGAACAGTCGCCGTTTAGAGAGGAATTCGATGACCTTTTGGGCTTGGATGTATGCAGCGACTTTTCCATTGAAGAAGCCTGGTTATCAGGTTATCGGCAGGAGCATCAGGATTCTCATGATGGTGATGAGGTTCTCTTGGCTTCATGGGGGAGTCACGCGGCTGATTCCACTCTCGACGGCGTTCAGGAGAGCACCAGCGATGTCATCGACTCGATTTCCTTGTCAGATGAAGAAGGCGCGAGGAGCTCAATCAGTGATGTCAGCATCGAGATTATTGATTGCGATTGAGGCAATCGGTTTCATTATGTTTTGTGGTAATTTGTCACGCATTCGTTAAGTTTTGTTGAGTTAGGATGAGTACTGAGCAGTTGGCCCAACGCAATTCAGCCAAATTAACCGGAAACAATCAACTCGTCGACGAGGCTAAGCTCGCCGTTCCGCACACACCATGCATCAATTTCACTCATTTTTTTGAGCAAGACTTCGGTCCTCCCCGGGCCAAGGATTGCTCCTAAATCCCACTCGGTCTCGATAGGATCTTCAATTGAAAGGCACTTCCCTCTCTGGGACGTCTTAGGGAAGATCCCACCAAGTCTTGGGCTTATACAATGCTTCTCCAAATCCATCGAACACAGCATACTGACGAAACCTCGACATAGAGTCTCGCAGTCGAGAGGGGGTTCGCCGAGTGCCCCAGCCACACCAACCATAGCGACCGCGATGGCGTAACCACCCAGCCACCCTTTCGACTGGCCACACATGTTGTGTCGTCTGGTCCAATGCTTCACGACTCGAACAGCATCAGCGAGCTGGGGCTCAGCTTCTACCTTCTGAGCTAACCAGATGCTCTTTCTGCACCCAAGAGCATTCTTGAATGTCACATCCATGACTATGCTCGTAGGGTTGTGAACAATGGTCACCACAGGTACTCTCCCGCCGAGCCCTGTAGCGACGACAGTGAACTGCTGTGTCTCGTTGAGGGTCCGGTGAAGAGTTAGCAGATGAGCTTGGGCGATCTCCCGAGGTGGATAAGTCTCCTTCTCGGCTTCAGACAGATTCGAAAGCCACGCTTGAGTAGATGGGGTACCATTCGACAAGAGCGTTACGTCCACGTCACTATTGGGTAGAGCAAGGCCGGCAGCTGCAGCACCGTACTCGACACACGTAAAGCCGACTGACTCAAGGACACCCTTCAAACGCTCGATGGCCTCAAGTGCGGC